TATAGAAAATATGACCAAGAGGAAGTAGATACACAGATTTACACACTGGAGAGACTCCAAGACAGATCCTCAGCGAATGCTGGAAGTAACTGGAAATGACGGGAATTTGACTTTTTAAGTGAATGAGCCGAGTTTGTTACGAGAGATAAGATTTAAACCAGTTTAAGGGCGTGTCAATAATTCCACTTGAAGCTCGTCTGCTCTAAGATGTTATGAAATGTAGTTTCAAAGGCTGCACTCAGACCAAGCAGGTGAACAGACCCCAGCTGCTGGCCATTAAAATCAGGCTATTAGTCTTTCATTCGGGATCATTTAAGGGCGTCCCTCAGGTAACAAGCGCCGCCACCCGATCGGTGTGAGAAGCAGCTATGAGGAAGACAAATGTGCACCACCAACATGTGGATCCTGCAGGTGAAGAAGAAGAAAACTCTTACAGAGTTCGGCTGTAAGCCATGGTTGTGACCAGCCATGGGGTCGTGACTCACTGGATGCAACCTGCCACCAACCAGCACAAACTGTGGTGTGTTTGTGTGCATCAGGGCGAAGCAGCTGACCGCCAAAGTCGTTCACATGGTTGTAAGCATCAGGAGGTGAGAAAATGTCAGCGTGTGACGCACTGGGATGAGAACATGCCAGTTCAGTGTGACCACACAGGGAGCTGACTTCCTTTTCACAAATGGTTTCATGACAAGATTCACCGCACTCCCTGCAGGGAATCACTGCCAGCGCAGAAAAGAGGAAAAAGATCTCTGCCAATTATTTTCTTTCACTTCTGTTCTGATCTGAGAACATGAAGCCATCGGCTGGCTTTCTGCTGCTGGCAGTGCTGCTCTCAGCCGCAGTGAGGTTCGCTCAGGCCCGGATTATACACTCGTACTTCAAGCTCGGCGGCACGTTGGTCCTCAAACCTGCCTCGGTCTCTGCTCGCATCACCAGCATCGCGTGGAAGCGGGACGGAGAACTGTTGGCCGAATGGGTGGAAGATGTGATTCCCCGGACATATTACGGCAGGTTTGGAGGCCGATCAGAGGTGAACACGAACGCAGGAGTGTTGGAGATCAGGAACATGACTGCAGCTGACTCTGGGGTGTATTCGGTGGAGATCAACAACCAGCCCCAGAGTCAGACTCATCAGGCCGTGAGGATCAGAGAAGTGCCCCAGCCTGAGGTCACGGTGAGGCCGCCGATGTGCGGCTCGAGTTTGGAGAACTGCACACTGAGCTGTGACGGAGACGTTAAAGACGCCGAACCTGTCGAGTATTTCTGGAAGATCGGAGGTGGAGAGTGGGAACAGTCGGGAAAAATCATGGAGATCAATAATTCTGAGGAAACACAGTGTGTGAAGATGTTTTCCTGCAGGATGAAGAACCCAGTGAGTGAGCGACACAGCGAACCCATCACTAACCCGTTTCACCAGCACAGAAATCTGGACTATAGATGGTGGATCCTCACGCTTGTAGGCGCTGCCGTCCTGGCGGTGGTCGCGGTGCTCGTCTGCTTTTTGTTTCAGAAACTGTAAAAGAAAAACTGCTGACAGCGATGAAAACGCACTTTAAGTCCTGATGAAGACTGAAGTTCAAAGAGCAGCTCATTTCTTTTTGCTTTGTAAAACTGTTCTACCGGTGTGGTCGTCCATGTTTGTAGTTCTTTTTTCTTTGGGATTTCTTTGCTTCACCGTCTACTTCGGTGTATTTATAGCTTTAAATGTATTTATCTACACGTCATTCTTATTTTTGTTTGATCTGTTTCTGTTTTCTTTGATTTCTTTGTAAGGTTGAACTCAAAGTAACATTAAAATCTTGTGTTGTTCAACATCTCTGGCTGCACT